TAAACATGTACATATTTCAGAAAATATTTTTTATAATTTAAAAAAAAATTATGCATGCATGTGTGTGTATTTATATATACACAAATATACACAGTAAACAATTTTTTTTGTTTTATGTAAACAAAAACTTATTTTGGATGCAGTTAATTGCGCTTAATCGTCTGACAGCACTAACATACATAAATAATAGTTTACAGTACTTGATAATAAATACAGTTACACTAAGGTTTAATTTGTAAAATACATTAGGACATTAGGTATCATGAAGGGATTGTGAACAATACTTTTACAAGTTTTATTAATCTAGGATTTTTGTTCATTTGTATATACAAATCATACATTTTTTATTTTATTTTAAAAGTATTATTTTTATGAACAAATGCAAATTAAAACAGCATATTTATAAATCAACATGAATTTAGATTAATAAATGCTGTAAAAACCTTCTGTTCGCTGTTAGTTCATGATACCTAATGCATTAACTATGCAAATTAGTTAACAAATTGGACCATACTGTAAAGTGTTACCAAAAATGTTACTGTAAAACACACAAAGAAACTCCAAAGGTCATATTTCAGTTATCAAAATAATAACCTGAGGGTTTATGTGGACAGCCTTATTAATGTTGCAGAAATATGTAATTATTGCACTATTTACATCGTATTATTTTTTATTAGTTTCAATAAATAAATAAACAGCAAAAGACAAATATTAGGAATTAATATTAGAATTCATAATATTTACGCTCAGAGTTACAAAAATCTGCAGTGTGAATGGAAAGTGGACTGAGACCTGAAGTGGGCTGAAATGAGAACTGTATCCACTTTCACGAACAGTAACAGTGTGAACACTAACAGAACTGGGTTCTTTTTCACTTTTTTGGGATCCATTTAAAAAAAAAAAAAAAAATCACCTCAAAGTGAACTACTGACCATGACCTTCAGTATGACCCTTAGCTTGTATGTTTACAGTAAGGCGAGCAACACAACAGCACCAACTGTTATTAAAAAGCAGATTTGGTTTCCATTTCTCTGTAACCTGATCTGATACGCGAGCCGGGCCGCTTAATATATTTAGGGTGCCAGGACCAAAGAATGGGGCTTCAGCTGTTATTAAAGTACAGACCAACCTCTTTCCTTTTGATTATAAATACTTACTTATTTTTTTTACTTAATTTTAAAAAGAAAAAAGATTTTTTATTACACGATATAATGAACATATTTTCAGTTTTTGCAATGAAACAAATTAAGTCTATAAGTCTCATAACTGTTGCAAAGTAAAAAGTCTCATTAAAAGGCTGAAATTCTTAAATATTTTAAAATAATTCTTAAGTAGAATTTTACAAATTCTGAGATGAGCATAATAAATTTTTTTGCAAGTTTATAACTGTCATGTTATAACAGGAAAAAAAAGTCTCATTAAAAGGCTGTCATTTTGAAAGATTCTTAAATAATTCTTTATTTATTTATTTATATATATATATCTTATTGTATTTTACTTGATGTTTACAAACCAGACATTCTTGGAGTTATTAAACTGAAATTATTCTTCAAAAACAGCTTAATAAAATAAAATAAAACAAAATATCTCTATCATATCGGACATCCATATTTGTTATAAAACATTAAAATGATATTCATTCAAACAGTGTTACCAGCCATAGAATTTGATCAATGCAAATGCAAAAAGAAACTAAGAACATGAACTAAAAAACATGACTGACTCACCAGATACCACACATAGTGAAACCTGCTGAAGATCTTCATGCCGAACAGAGCAGTGTGTGTGTGTGTGTGTGTGTGTCAGCAGTGACGCTGCATCTAACTTCCAAACATTACTGTGACTGTCCCGTCAGGGTCGTCTACCATCACTGAGCCTCTACGCACTATGTCTGTTTATGTACGTCCATGTATATGCAGACTGAGTCTAGTATTAGCCTTGGTATCTATTGCTGGCTCCTCCCCTTCAGGAAAGCTCTAGCATGTGTGTGTGTGTGTGTGTGTGTGTGTGTGCGGTCGATGAATGAATTCATTAACTGTGGCTCATGTGTTGGATCCACCAATCCCAGCAGAGCATTAAATATTTAGACTGTTGACTGTGTGCTTTGGTTCGCTTCTGCTTGGAGAATTTTCGATTAACAAACTTCTTACAGGTTTTTACAATCAAATTACAACCCTTTGCTTTGATTACATACTGACATAAAAGTGCATGTTTAATGAACGATATTAATGCAGGCATCTGTGTCATGGTGATTCATGCAGTGTTCAGACGGACAGGCAGAAGAGACAGACTCACCTGCAGCACAGCCTCATATGAACAGTCAGAAAAGAAGAGAGAGCAGGTTAACAACTGCTGATACAGCCAGAGAGAGAGAGAGAGAGAGAGAATGAGAATGAGTGACAGAGTGAGAGAGGAGGAAAATAAAAATAGAGAGACAGAGTAAAGTAAGCGCTCCTTATGGCGAGATAGATGCATATACACAAACAATGTTTTATGAAGCGTCTCCCGGACATAAAATGTTAAAAAAAGACATTTCAATTGGTATTTTAAATCTGTAATATTCTATTTATAATTTCTGATTATATATATTATATATATACTACTCTAATTTAGCTTAACTGCATTTTAATGCGGAGTTGCATTAGAGAAATATTGGCAAAAATTTGTCTACAATGTACTGAAGCACGATTCACACCAAGGTAGGATGCGATATCGATGAATAATTATATATTCTTGGATTTTTTTCTATAACAATTAAACAATATTTTGCTTGCAATATTCTTATTTTTAGCATTTTTGCCTTTATTATGATAGGACAGATCAGAGCTCACAGGAAGCGAAATGGGGCGGGATCGGGAAACGTCCTCGAGTCGGGATTCGAACTCGGGACGCCTGTAGCGCAACATGTCGGTGCACTGCCCACAAAACTATCGGCGCCGACTTGCTTGCAATATTCTGAGCGTGTTTTTATGCTGATACCTTGGCTGGTTTATGTCTGTCATGGATAAATAAATATGACACTAAAACGGCCAGTAGGTGGCGCCAAATCCCTGCCTTAATGAGTGAGTCATTGAATGATTCACTCGAACAATTCGTTCAAAAAGGCTGATTCATTTAGAAATAAAGCAAGCGGCTGTCAATGGATCATTAAATCATTGACTCAAGTGATTAGTTAAAAAACAGATTCATTAGGAACGAAACATCACGGTGTTGCTCTGAGATGCGCAAATGTTCCGCTCCAGCTTAGTTTGCAACTAATTTCATTAGCGAAACAGAAAAAATAAATAAATAAAAAAAAAAAGGAGACAACATTGTGTTGCGCGCTCATGCGCTGAAAGAAGAAAAAAAAACGTATTATTTTAAAACTTAGTATTTTTTACTTTCATAACTTGAATTACAGTATCTGGGCATTTTAAACTGCATTCTAATAAGCTTTATCACACAATGAATGCTTTCGGATATTCACGACATGTTTTTTGCATACTGGCAGCTTGCACATTGTTAAAACAACAATTACGACATTATCGTAGCCGATAAATATCACACACACCTACACCGAGGTCACTTCAAAACCAAGCTGCTTTCTATGGGTTAACTGTTCAATGCTAAACAAAACTGAACCAAATTCGAAATCCACATTGCAACATTTTGCTTTTGCGAAATTGAGAATTTCACCGAATTATGTCATCGGAAGTCCCTCAAAATTCTCGAACTTGCAGAAAAGTTTGCCAAAACCCGTGCACAGTATATCAGGCAGAAGCTTCACTTTGTGTACTTTAGATCGTTTCAAAAGGTCAAACCCCAAGAGAGGAGAGTAGGGAAGGATATTCTGTTTCAAAAAGCATCAACAATATGATTTTGTAGCTTGGTGTCAGTGTCAGTTTTCATCAGTGCGCTGCAAAGCCTCATCCGCAGTAAAAACTCATTTGTCGCTGTAAACAACAAATATTTTCTGGCCCTGTATAGTGTGCCATGGCTAGGGGTTTGTGGGTTACTAATGTTTGGAGGAGCTCTTGTACCTTATGCTGAATAGTCGAGTGTTTCATCTCCATATCTTTCCTCTCTTTTGCGGAGTCGATCACCAGCTGATCCAGCTGAAAGACAGACATGAAAAATGGCTTGAATGCATGAAAACAGGAAGAGAAATCTGGGGTCAGAGCAATTTGGGTCAACCTATGAAGAAGGTGCTTATTATATTTTAAAAATTCTGCTTTATTATTAAAAAAAAAAAAAAAAAGGCAAATATATAAGGCAAAGAAGGTTTTCAAGACGCCGCCTTCACCCAACTGTACTGAACTTTATAAAACTGGAATTAAAGGCACGGCTGCCAGTGAAAAACCACTTTAAACACAAAGTCATGTAATCGGAAGATGGTCTGGTTTCTTACATCTGGACGGAAAACCACTCTTGCTCCCATATCCCAAGACGATGATGGACCATAATACACTGCTTCACCGCCACTACACACTGCTAAACAAATTCAAGAACGCTTCTAACAGTAAAACTCAGCCATTCAGAATCTTTCTGATCGCCAAATCCAAACTTGTTTATGGGAATATTCCACTACACTGAAGGACTTCATCAATCCAACTTTAAAAATGTGGATTATTACCAAGTTTAGGTCTTTAACATTAATATATCAGTGGATGTTACTATAGTATTATCCAGTAAATGAACTACCTCTAGAACTGAAACTGGTGATTTCACCGTTCCATATTTCCAAATAAATTCACTTTCTATTCAACAAGCTCATCAGATCATGCTTTCTCAAACAGAAAGGTCAAGACTGAAAAGTTGATGAAATAATGATTTAAAACAAGACAAAACAAGCTTCTAAACAACTACAAATCAAGATATTTAATAATCTTCTCACCAACTGCTTGATTGCTTTTGAAGAACCAGGATTCTTGGCAAACCTGGATAAATGAGGAAGTCTAATTTTAAGTGTGATTTCTAGACCTGGAAAAGTCATGTAATAAAACGGGCCATATGCAACTCCATATACATTTTCATAGTTGAGATAAGCTCTATTTTATCAGGCAGAAATTGTGAGTAAATGAAGAGGCTCATATTGTCATTAGCAGGAGACGTTCAAATTACTTGCTGA